GGCCGACATGAGGGAGAAGCGCTATGTGCAGGAGGGCATTGGCAGCAGCTACCTGTTCCGGGTGGACCACGACACCATCATTGATGCTACAAAGTGTGGCAACCTGGCGAGGTTCATCAACCACTGCTGCACGGTGTGCTAGGGGCCCGGCCAGGGTGGGTGGGGTCTGAGGGGGTGGCCACCCAGCTCACTCTGCCCTCCCCTCCTACAGCCCAACTGCTATGCCAAGGTGATCACCATTGAGTCCCAGAAGAAGATTGTGATTTACTCCAAGCAGCCCATTGGTGTCGATGAGGAGATCACCTATGACTACAAGTTCCCGCTGGAGGACAACAAGATCCCATGTCTGTGCGGCACTGAGAGTTGCCGCGGCTCCCTCAACTGAGGTGGGCAGGACTGGTGCCCACACCCCTATTTATTCCCCTTGGTGCCCTGAGCTCCCAGCCCGCCGACACCTCCCCGCCCCCCCCCCGCCCAGCCTTAGTGGGCTCAGGAGGGCCCACATGCCCCCATCTCCAAATACAGAGTTGGGCCCTGAGTCCTGCAAGGGAGCCTCAGTCCTTGAGGCAATGTCTGCCTCCCCTGTCACCCCTGCCACCACCCTCTAATTTTTTTCTTTGCGGAGAAGAAGCTGTAAATGTTTTGTAGCCGCCAGCAGCTGTTTCCTGTGGAAACCTGGGGTGCCAGCCTGTACAGATCCTGTTCTTGGGGACTGCACACCCCCCTTGCTTTGTGTTAATGGGGACTTCCCTTTTGTGCCCTGCGTGCACCCCTCCCCAGTTTAGGGGTCTCTAGGGGCAGTGGCCATGTTCTCCCCCTGGGGAGGGGGGCCCTGTGCCCCCCTCCTGGGGACTCTGTGCCTGGAACCCTGCCTCATCATCTGTTCCTGCCAGACCCTGTGGGTCACCCTCCTACCCTGGTGTCTGGAAGCTCCAGCTGGGCCAGGCCAGGATGGTGGGGGGAGCGGGCCCTTCCTGTTGGGCTGGACTTGTATATATGTTAATAGCACAAACCCAATGCCACATTTTTATAATTGTGATTAAACTTTATTGTACAAAAGTGCTTGGTCAGTATCTTTGGGAAATAAGATGGGATGAGGGTCAAGGACAGAGGGTAGGGCAAATGGAGAGAGGGACTGAAGTTTTGGGTGGGTACAGAGGCTTTCGGGCAAGAGCCCAGACCCACAGACTTAGCCACCTCTGGGCCACCTGACAGACTGGAACAGCCACCTAGAATCCCCCAGTGAGCCCAGCCAGACCTGGCCAAGGTCAGGCCTATCTTCCCAGGGGGCCTCCTGAGCAAGAGGAAAGGACTGATGCAGTAGAAGTGAGATCACCCTGCCTGCTCCATCTCTATCCCACCAAAGCCCCTCAGTGCCCACCCTGCCGGTTTTGGTGTCCCCGTCCCTGTTCCCCAAGTTCTTTGCTGAAACCAGATGTCAGTGGAGCACACTGGCCACCAGGGGGAGCCCTGTGGCAAGAGTGGGAGAGGAGGGGTGGAGGTTGGGCTGGTCTGTTCCTGGAATGGGCAGGAGGAGGAGCAATCGGAAGGGGACAACTGTGTCGCTGGCCGGAAATGAGACAGAGACAGACCAGCTCCTCTGGTGGCTAATTTGGGCACCCTGGGACTGTGGTTGCAGGTAGGCAGAGGTGATACCAGCGGTCCCTTGCCCCAGCTCCAGCCCTGCCCGCCTTCCTCTCCCCCTCCTCCCCAACTCCCTGCCACCCACCGTGTGTGTGTGTGTGTGTGTGTGTGTGTGTGTGTGTGTGTGTGTGTGTGTGTGTGTGTGTGTGTGTGTGTGTGTGTGCGCGCGCGCGCGCGCACTTTTGTCCCAGAACCTCCCCCTCCACCTCAGACACTGAACCCTTTTTGCAAGCCCTGACCTTATCTCAGTAACTGTAGTGGGCAGGGTCAAAGGACAGGTGGCCTGGCTGCTGCACCCACCAGGAACAGTTGTCCCCAGCAGTGGTCACTGCTTCAGTCCACTAGGTTACAGGCCCCTTTAAGGAATAACAGGTGGGCTGCCCGTGCTGAGGCAGATAGCAGCAGGCAGCTCAGGTGAACCAGTGTCTCTCCCTAGCAGGACATGGCAGACTTTGCACAGGCTCGGAAGCTGGTATACCTGGTCACAGGTGGCTGTGGCTTCCTGGGGGAGCATGTGGTTCGAATGCTGCTGCAGCGGGAACCCCGGCTCCGTGAGCTGCGAATCTTTGACCTGCACCTGGGTTCCTGGCTGGAGGAGCTGAAGACAGGTGATCGTGGTGGGGAGTTGGGGGGAGGATGTGGACTCCCTTCACAGTGATGGAAAAGATGATGCCTCTTTTTGTTGTCTATTGCACATGGGTGGGGTGAATGAGTCACACTGGGAACATGTGGTTCCCAAGAGTGTAGGCTGAACCAAGCAGCTGACTGGTGGCCCCAGCTCTGACATTGCTTCTGGCTGCCCCTACCCCATACCCCCCATACCAGGCACAGTGCAAGTGACTGCCATCCAGGGGGATGTGACCCAGGCTGACGAGGTGGCAGCGGCTATGGCTGGAGCCCATGTGGTCATCCACACAGCTGGGCTGGTAGACGTGTTTGGGAGGGCCAGTCCTGAGACCATCCATGAGGTCAACGTGCAGGGTGAGATACTCCCCCACTGTTCTAATAATGCACTTAACACTTCTGGCACATGACCTGACCTTGACTGTTTGTGTCCCGCCCCCCTCCCTTGGACCCTGACCTCTGTGATTCTCTTGTGTCAGTCTGTCCTGTGTGCCAGCCTGCGGTGGTTTTCCCTGGACCTGGGGGAGGAAGCCATGTGCCTTCATCCAGATTTGGGATGGGGATGGGGGAGATACAGAGAGGAAGCTTCAGTTTGAACACACATCTCACCTCCCCAGGCACGCAGAATGTGATTGAGGCTTGTGTGCAGACTGGAACACAGTTCCTGGTCTACACGAGCAGCATGGAAGTTGTGGGGCCCAACATCAAAGGCCACCCCTTCTACAGGTGAGCTGAGTGAGTTTCACCCCCCAAATTTAAGAGCTCCATCTTCCCTCAGCATTAAGAATCTTCCCTCTCCCCTACTAGGGGCAATGAGGACACCCCATATGAAGCAGTACACAGACACCCCTATCCTTGCAGCAAGGCCCTAGCTGAGCAGCTGGTCCTGGAAGCCAATGGAAGGGAGGTGAGACTGGAGACAAGATGCAGAGCCACGGCAAGCTGGGCTTCTTTGCATCCTGACCTGGGAACCTCCCATTTCCAGCTTGAAGAGGCCAGGGCAGAGGGCAGGCCACTGGGTCTTAGCAGTGCCTACCTTTTGTCTCCAGGTCCATGGGGGGCTGCCCTTAGTGACATGTGCTCTGCGTCCCACTGGCATCTATGGTGAAGGCCACCAGATCATGAGGGACATCTACCACCAGGGCCTGCGCCTAGGAGGCCGGCTCTTCCGGGCTATCCCAGCCTCTGTGGAGCATGGACGGGTCTATGTAGGTGAGGCCTGGGCTAGGCAGGGGGGAGCCTAAGAATGGGGCAGGACCTTCGAGGTTCTGGGAGGTATGCAGTGTGTACTCTGGAGAGAAAAGAACAGTCTGTACATGGCCCAGGGTATACTACGTGCGGCCGTGTCCACAAAGGCCATCGAGGAAACAGTACCATGCAAGGTGGGAAGGCTGACATAAAAAACATGTCATAGGCTGAAGAGAGGATCCCGCTTACAGAAGCAGCACCCCCCAGGAGAGGAGGGGGGCAGCATCTACATAGGCCCAAAGAGGAGGTGGCTTGTGTTTGGGCTGGCCTGGGAGACAGCATCTACATGGTCACAAGGATACTCAGGGGCACATGCACCCCACTTCCCTCACCGGCAGGTAACGTGGCCTGGATGCACGTGCTGGTGGCCCGGGAGCTGGAGCAGCGAGCAGCTCTAATGGGTGGCCAGGTGTACTTCTGCTATGACAAATCACCCTATAAGAGCTATGAGGACTTCAACATGGAGTTCCTGGGCCCCTGTGGACTGCGGCTGGTGGGCACCCGCCCACTGTTGCCCTACTGGCTACTGATGCTTCTGGCTGTGCTCAACGCCCTGCTGCAGTGGCTGCTGCGGCCGCTGCTACTCTACGCGCCTTTGCTCAACCCCTACACGCTGGCCATGGCCAACACCACCTTCACTGTCAGCACCAACAAGGCTCAGCGCCACTTTGGCTACGAGCCCCTCTTTTCATGGGAGGAGAGCCGGACCCGCACGATCCGCTGGATGCAGGCCAAGGACAGTGCGGCCCAGTGATGGTGGAGCTGGGGCCTGGAGCCCAGCACAGCACATCCGTCCAGGTCCAGAGCCCACAAACCCTGGCTAAGGAAGGAAGGCTGCACTCTAGAGCTAGTGTCCGGTGCCAGTGTTCTGGCTGTCTTAGAGGTCTCCACGTGTTAAATCTATGAGCTTTAAATCTGTGTCCTGATGCCTCTGAGTTCCAGGGAAAGAACTTCTTCACTCTCAAGCCAGGCCTGATGGCTGGTTGGCAAGGGTCTGATTTCCCCAATGTTCTCAACTGCCATCCCATTATTGGCTTTTCGAGCCGGAAGTGGGTATAAGTTCCACAGGCCTCGTGCTTGCCTTCTGGTGTCCAGGCATGAGCCTCAGGCCTGGATTCTGAGTGAAGAGGCTTTCTGACTCTTCCTACCACCTTCGTCCCTCCTTGGGGGCCATACTCCCATTATTTTAAAACATCACCTTTAGATGTTTGTCTTTTAAGCCTCCTCAATTTTCACTAAGGAAATCTGTATATTTTCACTTCTTCCCACCCTGTACCCAAATTTAGTTCCTGCAATATTGTGAGCTCTCTGCCCGAGGATTCCCAATAATTCTGTACCTGCCCAAGCCCTGTATTAAAACTCCTTATCTACGCCTGTGTCCAGCCGCCTGTGCAGCTCCCTGGCCCGCCTCCCCCCAACGTGTCTTCCCTCCCCGCGGCGCCCGTCCCATGTGGGGACAGAAGGAAGTGAGCACGCAGCACGCCCGCTGTTGGATTGGTTGCTATTTCTCCCGTCCCACGGGGCCCAACCTGGCCCAGGGTGGGGGTGGGGGCTCTGGGGACAGGACATGCAGGGCTGAGGACAGAGGGCAGAATTTTCCTGTGTTTTATCCATTTGCGACTCGGTCACCAATAGAGAAAAATGGGTCTCTGAGGGCTAACAGGAGAGGGTGGCCTGGCTCTGGGCCCCCAGCCAGGCCCCAAGAGTCCTGTCAAGAGGGAAAGAGCTCTAGAAACCAATGGAGAAACAGAAGGGGCAGGGATTCATGTCAGCAAACACAGCTATATCACGTGACACGCCAGCGACACGGAAACACGCCAACGCACACGGCTGCACAGCGGGCAGGGGCAGGTCAGGTAGAAGGGAGCCAGGGGCCACCATCTTGCCCTTTGCAGGGCGGGCTGGGGGGGCAGGGTGAATGCATAGAACACATCATGTACACATGCTCCAGATATGGCAAGAGCATGTGCTGACCCACAGGCACATGGGATGGACACGCGCAGTGTGCTTCATGAGAGGCAGAGCTAGGGTTAAAGGAGAAGGGGAAGCAGTGAGCCCCGGCCAGGCCTGGCACCACCCATGGGGCACACACGGTTGGAGGTGGGGAAGGGTGGGCAGCACACACTCCTCCAAGACCACGTGAAAGACACGAGCCCCAGGCCACACTCCAGGACACACGTGGACACAGCAGCCAACAAGCAAACACATCACATGACGTGCGAGACTTGTGCAAGCTTGGGGATAGCAGACCCTCAGGAGTACTCTGGTCTGACACCCAGAGACGGGCAGCTACGGGTCTAATGCCACTCAAGGAGGCAGCAGCATCACTCGAGCCAGGCCCCCACCCTTCTCCCGTGGCCTCAAGGCTGTGAAAGTCTCAGAAACACCTGGGTCGAAAGGGTGTCTTGGTTGGGCAGCAGGAAGGGAAGAAGGAAGGGTAGGGGTGCTGGGCCTGCTCTGACATGCCCAGAGAAGTCTGAGGACGGAGCAGGAAGGCCACAGTGAGGGCAAACTTTCTGTCCTTGAGAAGGACATTCTGGGAATGAACAGGCAGATGCCCCTCTTCAGGACAGCCCACCTTGGGGTTTACACATACTGGCCACACACAGGTAGGGCCCAAACAGCCAGGAAGAGAAGAGGTTGACTACCTGGGCTGGGACAAGCATGGGGAGGGTATCATGTTCCAAGTCACCTCTGCATTCTCTGTCTCTCTCTCTCTCTCTCTCACACACACACACACACACACACGTTTCACATGCAGTGGGACCCTGGGAAATGATCCGCACACTACCCTGAGTCCTTCCCTCTGTGCACACGTAGACCCACCCCCAGGGCAGGACACATTCCTGTACTTGTGTTCAGTCCTGTGCATGTGGGTCCTTGTTTCTCAGCCATGGAGTGCGGGGACCTTCTAATGTTGTCCTTTGCTCATGTACCTCCCATCTGCCACCAAATGCGCAAAGCCACCTGTACACATGTTGCCTACATCAGGGAGGAGCTGGCTCTTTCCTCACCATCAGGAACCCAGGCCCGTGTCCCACCTTCAATCTCGCCTCGGTGCGGGGACAGCTATTCCAGACATGTCAGCAAATGGGTCTGGGGGGGAATCCTGGGACTTAGCCCACCCTGAGTGGCTGCTGCCACATTGGCCATTCCAGGGTATCTGCAGGAAACAGTTCCCTGAGCCCAAAGTCCCTGGGGCAGAGCCCAGAGCACCCAGTGGGCCAGTGGGGACCAATACTGGCCTCTCCCCATTCTGAGGTATTTGATGGAAGGCAGGGACGCTCTCATTTTCGGTCTGGGATAGCCCTCGACATGGTAACATTCTCACAGCCCTTCCAGCAGGCATTCTAGGAGGTACTCCTGTGCAAATGGGAGTAGGCCTGCGTGGGCACCTTGTGCACATCAGCATGCATGTGTGCTCGTGTGTGTGTGCCTGGGTATGGTCACCTACACAAGGCCTCCTGAGCCTTGGCATGTGTGGGCCAGCTCTCGTGGGTGCAGGCCCGTCCTCTGGCAGAGACACAGAGGAAGAAAAGCATCTACGCGTGTGTGCTCAGGGGCTCTGAGACCCGACAGGGCAGGAAGCGCCAGCTGCACAGTGTTGACGCAGCAGTGTGTGGCCGTGCCAGATATCGGGCAGCAGCTCTGGGGAGAGAGGGAGGGGCAAATCAATCGGCATAAACAAACCTGAATGGGGCATGAGTCCTTACAGAGAAACAGGTGCTCATATAATATACAGGGGACCAGAAACACTATGTAGAAAGCCTCTGTATATGTACACACCCATTCTCACAGACACAGTCTAGACAGCACAGAGATACAGATTGCTGTGCCCCCCAGAACAGGGGTCCGGTGCATGGCACCGAGGCTCTCTGAGGAGACCCACCAGCAAACCCTGACACACACACACACACACACACGCAGACACACACAGGTATTTCTCACATTGCCTGCTGGGGGAAACATACATGTATATAAAAGCCAAACTAGGTTATATATACGTGCACACTTCCACTCATGCGGGCTGACCTCCAAGGGTCACAACGTGCACACACTTACGGTCCCCCAGGACACATGCCTGGGGTGACCAAGCCAGGAAGATTCACTCTGCATCACGCTGGGTGTCTGCCGTGCCCATGTACGTGGGCCTACCCGAAGCCTCGGGGGATGAGCATCCACACGCTCGCAACCTCCCCACTAGTAGCAGAGTAGCAGACACAGGGGAGGGGGCGTCAGTGGAAGAAGTGCTATTGTGTTAGATTCAAACACAAAACTCCATGTACACAAATTATGTGCCCACAGATCGAATGTGGACACACACACACACTTATTCACAGAAGACAGAGCGGGGCTTGGTGGGCTGTTGTGCTATACCCAGCCACAGTCTACACAACAAACAAGTGAGGAGGGGAAGCTCAGACAACACACAGACTCAAGGTGGGAACAGGAAGGCTGATGAGGTGCTTCTACACACGTCTATGAACATACACACACACGCTGGGGTGTCCACTCGTCTCGAGCGTGTTCCGGCGGCATGCATGTTGGTGTGCATGTGTAATCACGCCTGCTGCTATTTATGTGCGGGGGTGGGGGTGGTCCATGGCGCGGTAAGGTCCAGGGACTCCAGGGTCTGATGGGGGAGTAAAGGGGCGGGCTACCTGGGTCTGTCTTGGGGGTGGGCCTGGAGCAGGGGATGGAGTGAAAGGGGCAGTGGGGGTATTGCTCCCGATGTGGTGGGGGAAGGGTCTGGGGGAGGCAAGGGTGGGGGGCCTACAAGCCCAGCGTCCCCCCAATGGATGACGCCAAGACCACCCCCAGCACCACACAGCAAATGATGATCATGATTTTCTTCTGTAGGCAGAAAGGACAATGGGACAGGAGAAGGAGAGACAGACAGACAGAGATTCAGACAGAGTGAGAGAAACAGACAGGAAGATGGGGGGAGGGTATGAGGAAAAAGGAAAGGGGAGAGAAAACAGAAAAAGGAAGAGGTCAGAGCCAGAGATAAGGCCTTCCAGGGGATTTCATCACTTGTCTCAGCTCTGGCCTGAATCCAGCCCCGCCCGCCCAGCTCCAGCCCTCCTGCCCCCCAGGCCCATCCACCCTGGCTCACCCTCCGGGCCTTGCTCTGATATCTCACAGCTTTCTTCGTGTCTGACACAGCTCGCTCCACATAGTCCACGGAATGTTCCACGTTGTACTCAATTCGGTCGATCATCTCACCCTGCAGAGGGGATGTGCACGGGGAGAGGTGGGGCTGGGCTGGAAGCAGGGCTGGGGGAGGCTTCCACGGGGTGTGGCAGAGGGCAGAGGCAGTACCTGGCTTTCCACGAGCATGGCCATGTCCACAAACATGTCATGCAGCTCGCGGATGCTGGTTTCCAGTTTGATGATCTCGTTGTGCCTCGTCTCAATCTCATTCAGAGCCTGCTTCGTCATCTGTGAGTCCATTTTGATCTAGGGCGATGGTGGGGGGTGCGGTGAGGGGAGCTGAAGACCACACTTCACTCCCATAAGAGCTCAGAGTCTGCAGCCAGAGTATCTGGGTTCAAATCTGGCTGTCATTCACTAGCTATAACGGTGGGCAAATTTTTTAACTTCTCTGGGCCCCAGTTTCCCCACCTAAAAAACATGGATAGTAATAGTGCCCACCCCATGGTTGCTGTGAAGATTAAATGAGTTAATATGTGTCCACTGATCAGAATAGTACCTGACACACAGGAAGCATTAAAGACAAGTCTGCCAAATTACAAGAAGTAAAACTTGTCCCTAGCCCACCACCTCAGCCCAGGGCTGCCTCTATCGCACATACCAGGGAAGCCCCGGGAAGGGAGACAGTGGTCCAGGGCCCCCTCTAGTATGGGGGCTCCTGTCTGGTCAAAGGCAGATAGGGAAATGGAAGAAGACACAGCAGAGAGAGAGTGTGTAACGAGCAGAGAAGGGGGCCTGGATGAGAAGGCAGGGTGTCCACAAGTCCCCTGGAGCCCCGTGACACGAGATGGGGGGGGCGGGCGGATAATAAAGGAGTGCACCGCAGCCTCAAGAGTCAGTGGGAGAGAGACCCCAACCCACAATTAGATACCCCTGCTCCCCACAAATGCCTGCCTGAGCCAGGCCACTCACTTCCCAGAGCACTCACTGTTTAGACCTTGTTAAGCCACTTCTGTGCTCTAACACTGGCCAGGGCTCCCCACTGCCCACAGGCCACACACCTTTACCTTAGTGGTCAAGGCCCAGGCTCCCTGTCTGTCCTCATCTCCTACACAAGAGCCAAAACCATCCAGGGGCTGTTTGGCAAGTGGTCCACTTTCCTTGTCTTTGTCCAGTCTGCTCCTTTTGTCTAGAGCAGGGGTGCCGAACTCATTTTCACTGGGGGCCACATCAGCCTCGAGGTTGCCTTTAAAGGGCCAAAATAATTTTAGGACTGTATAAATGTAACTACTCCTTAACTTTTAAGGAGTTGAATTACATTCGGCCCTTTGAAGGCAACCTCAAGGCTGATGTGGCCCCCAGTGAAAATGAATTGGACATCCCTGGTCTGGACTGTCCTTCGCTCATCTTCCCAAGTCAAATAAATGTTCCTCGTCTCTGAAGACACAACTCAATGCCGCTTCCCAGGAAGCCTTCCAGGACTCTACAAGTTAAGTTTAACCACTACCTCCGGGCTTGTCTGCATCTTGCACAGCTCTCGAGCGTGGCACCAACCACTCTGAGCTGTGATGGGGGGCTAATTGGCAGGGATCAGCTCTGCCCCCTTGGAATTACTCACCAGGTTCCTTCCATTCTCAGACAGACAGCCTGGGCAGAGCTGTTTTAGACAGCTCCAGGCTAACTGCCCACAATCCATTTACTCAAAGCTAATTTAACAAATACCAACGATCTAAGTAACAATATGCTAGACAGTCACTGAACATACTTTAATCCTGGCCTAGGGACCTAAACCAGAGCCATTCCACCACCAGAAGCATAAAGAGAGAGACAGCACTGGGCAGGCTAGGGTAAAACTGAACAAAGAGAAAGAAGAACTACAGCTAGGGGAAGCCCATACATTCACATGTAAAATGACAAGAGCAGAACACAGTGCAAAATTAAAACAGGGGCTTTTTTGCCCTGGCTGGACTGGCTCAGTGGATTGAGTGCCAGCCTGTGAACCAAAAGGTCACTGGTTCAATTCCCAGTCAGGGCACATGCCATGGCTGTGGGTTGTGTCCCTGGTTGGGGGCGGTTGGGGGCATTTGAGAGGAAACTGATGATCAATGTATCTCTCACACATTGATGTTTCTCTCCCTCTCTTTTTCTCTCCCTTCCCCCTCTCTACAAGCAAATAAAATCTTTAAAAAAAAACAATAAAAAAAGGGTTTTCTAAAAAATCTTCAAAAGATAAGGAAATTAGTCATTGGGTGAAATAACCTGCTTCAGTAAGGTTATCTTAGTACTGAAAAGTCCTAACTGAACCTAGACTGTGGATTCAGATACAAGCTCTGGCCCCAGCTCTCTAACCTCAGCAAGTTACTTAACTTCTTCAGGCAAAATTTCCTCATCTGTGAAAGTGGGTCCCTCAGAGGGTTGTGGTGAGGAATAAATGAAGTTAGCAGGTAAACGTTAATATGCAAAGTGCCTAAAACAGTGCCTGGCACACAGCTGTTTGCCGTTTCTCCGGGGTGGCTTCCTGCTCTGCCCTCATGGAATTCCCCAGTTCCAGGTCCAGTTATTCCAGGGTGGATTTAGGACCTTGGGTTTAACCTAAGCTTGGGGTGGAGAGGCAAATGCCTTCCAAAAACAGGGCCCATCCCCACCCACAGCTCACATCATCGGTGAAGATGGCCAACTTCCCACTCTCCAGCATGTCTTCCAGTTCTTCGTTGGTTGTGGTCCTTCCGGCTGTGGGAAGGAAGGACTCAGTGCTCAGGGACTGGGCCAGCCTAGGGGCCTGAGGTGGTGGGATGGGGCAGGGACCCGGGAGATAACCCTTCCACCGAGCCTTAGGCCAGATGCCCCCTCCACAGAATGGAAGGGCGCGGAAGGGGACTTGGGTAGGCCTGGGGAGTATGGAAGGGAGGCACACGCACTGATCTCCAGCTGCCGCTGGATCCGGTCCTTGCAGCGGTCTCGGTACTTGGACTGGGTCGCGTTATATTCAGTCATTACTTCCACGAACTTCCGAGAAAGTGTGGAGTGCTGGGGTGGGGGGTACACACATCAGGAGGCAGGGAGCAGAGATCAAAGTGGTGAGTCGTTAGTGCAGGGATGGGATGGAGAGAAGGGGTGATCGCACCCGATCCCGCCCCCTCACAAGTGCACAGTCTCCCAGCGCCTGTTTCTCTGCCCCACAGCCAAACCGGCTGCAGCACGGGCGAAGGCACCGCGACGGGATCCGCACACTCCCTCCGCTATAACCCCGCCCTTTGGGTACGCGCCACACCCCCCCCACCCCCGCCTCCCACCCCCGGCAATGGAGCTTCGCGGCGACTCGCCCGTCAACAACCGGCAGGATTCCTCCCCGACTCCATCCAGGTCCCGCCCCGGCATGGTCGCAGCTTCCTACCTGGGTCTTGCGGATTCGCAGGTCCGCGGAGGAACGATTTAGCCCCTCCTCCTGTTCGATGCTTTGCTCGATCGCTGCGGGAGAGAGGATGCATTGACCGGCAGGAGACCAGGGGCGTGTGGGGCGGGGGTCCGGGGGGTGTGAAGGGCTGACACCCCGGGGCAGGTCCCGGGCCTGTCACACCCGTGGCGAGGGCAGACAGTAAAGGATCCAGAGTGAGGGGAAGGAGGCCAGAGAGTAAAGGGACAGACGTTTGAGCAGGTCAGAAAAGCAGGTAGGAAGGAGATTGAGGGTTGGTCAGTAACCAGAAGGAAGGGGGCTATTTGTTGTTTCGGAAGCTTGGGTCTTGGAAAGTCCCAATAACTGAGCAGCTATAACTGCGGCCCAGTCCCTCGAGGGAGTGTGGGCTCAGCCCCCTGTGAAGGTCCCTCGTAGCAGGGAACTCCACTTTCTATATCCTCTGGAAAGGAGCAGGAACCCATCCTGGGATTCTTCTAGTGGAAGGCAAGCACTTCCAGGTGGGTCAGGTTTTAGTGACCACCCTTTCCTTGGAAAATTCTAGGGTGAATGGATGGACGTTCCAACAGAAAAAACAGCTTTCCCCCTGCCCGACAAGATGATCCCTGTTCCCGGGAATTCCCACTTCTAAAGGATGTTCTGGGAAAAGCGCACAGATTAACTGGGGTGTCTGCTTCTGGATCATGCACTCCTGACACTTACTCAGATTTTCTAAAAAAGACCTTGTGGTAAGATTTACTGTGCTCAGAAAATGCAGCAGGGATGAATCACCACCAAGTCCTCTCAGGCCTGGAAGGGCCTCCAGCCATTCCTGAGAACATCACTTCCCTGCTCTGCTGGCAGCAGAGGAGATTGGGGCTGGATGGCACCCGATGCTCCCTGCCAGCAATGCAGGGCAGTGACTGAATAGCAGCTTTGGCCCAACTGCTGCAGGAAAAGCACAGGAACATACACCCAGGGATGGCAGAGTCTCTGGATCAGACTGGGATCCTACTGTCAGACCTGCGACTGGGGCCTAGCCCTGGAGGACGGCGTCCTTCACATCGTCTCACTGACTTCTTACAACAGTCCTGGGAGTTCGGTGATATTAGTCCACGTTTCAGACGAAAAACTGAGGTTCGCGTGGGTAAAACAACTCAAAGCTCACAAAAACCTGAGCTCGTGCCACCACATAGCTGGAGGAAGAGAATTTTCTCTCTTGCTCTAGAGCTCTGGAAGTCAGCTTCTCTAAGCCACCGTCGCTTTTCCTAGTTTCTTTCCTGATCTGTTCCTGAACCCCTCAGCGGTGTCCAACCTGTGGCCATTGGGCCGCATTGCAGCCCAGGATGGCTATGAATGGGGCCCAACACAAAATCATAAATTTACTTAAAACCTCATAAGATTTTGTTTGTGATTACGAGTCACAATGTATTTAATATGTGGCCTAAGACAACTGTTCTTCGTCCAGTGTGGTCCAGAGATGCCAAAAGGTTGGATGCCCCTGCCAGAGCCCTCCTCATGGTCTAATAGAGAGACTACTAAGGTCAGAGCTGGATGGGCCCAAAGAGCCCAGGGATTTTACAACTGTGTTCCACAGAACCCTGCTTCTGAAAAGGAACTTCAGGGGCTGTGGACAGGAGTGAAGGGGAGGCCCTGGGCCTCCTGGTCCCGGTTCAGCCAGAATAGCCTGACTTTTATGCGCTATGTAGAGTGGAGTTCTGTGCAGGATTTCAATAGAGGGAAAAAAAGGATCTTGTTACCCGCCACCCCCCACCCCCCAAAAGCCAGCTTTGAAATTGCTTCTATTTTTCTTACTGTACTAACGAGGAAGCTGAGGGTAGGGTACTTGTCCAGAGCGAGCTGGTGATGTAAGTTGGACTCCCTCTGCCTGGATTTGCACTTAATGTGCTCCCAGTTAGGTCATTTCCTTTCCAGAACACTCTGAGTACAAAAGGTTTGTTTTTATAGATCAGCACTAGAGGCTGACACAAGGCCTCCTGTGGAGTCCAGGAGGGCATCGAGTCTCTGTCCTCATGTCCCTGGACCAAGGTCAGAGCACACAGGCCCTGGCATCTGTCATGCTTCCTTTTCCCCAAAGCCCAGTAATGTGGCTTGGACAGAGTGGGTGCTTGGTAAATGTTTTCTGCTGCTGAATTACCATGAGCATACAAATTAGCATCACGGTAACACTACTATTCCCCTGGCATCAGCAGACAAGGAGGTTCCCAACCCACAGTGCTTTGGGGGAAGGTGGTTATTACCAGCACCCAAGTCCCCAAATTAGAGAGAATACATGAACATTTGGCAAGTCCCTCCTGAAAGCTTGCCAGCCCCTGATGTCAGCCACACAGTCCAATCTGTCCTGAGCTGAGGACACCAATTCAGAAGCACTTGCTTAACCCACCTACTGGGTGCTTAGCACTATGCCTGGCACCTGTTCTGAAGAAATGAGGCCTTAATGAAACTAAAGCCACTCGGGAGTCTATATTTTCCTGACAGACATTCACGCTGCTGGAACCAGTAGAGCTCAAATGTAATCTGGACAGACAGCCTCTTCTTCCTCATGTCCCTGTCATGCATCTTCCTCCAGAGAATCTGGAGCAAGAAGGAAAATTGGGGCTTTGGGCTTTCTCACTGTGTGAGAATCCAGCTCCTAGAAAACCTGTGGACATTCCTGATAGAAAGGCCCATCTGGTCCGCTGGAAGGCCCAGCTCTTTTTCTCCTTAGTCAGGGGACTGCAGTCCTCACCTTTCAATTTGGACCGAACCTTGTTGGCCGTCTTCTTGATGTCTGCAGTGAGGTCCTCCAGTTCCTGTTTGGTCTCTAAGGAGGGGCCAGGGTGGGTAATAAGTCTGGGCGGACCCCAGACCTCCTCCCCACCCAGCCCACAGCTACCCCACAGCGGCACTCACTCTCGTCTGGGTTGGGGGCAGCCAGGATGGCGCTATGCTGTTTTTTCACTTGCTCCACGTCCTCTGACAGTTTCTCAATGCAGCCCCGGATCTCTTCCACCTGGGGCAGCAAAGTGGCTCTACCCAGCCAAGCCCTCAGGCCGGACAAGGGCATCCACAGGACTCAATCAGGGTTCAGGGAAATGGGCTAGACCCAGAGGGACTGGTAAAAGGGGTGTAGGAATAGAGAGCAGGGGGTGGAGGAAGAGTTGTTGGCTGGGGTATTGGAGTCTCAGTTACCTGCTCAAAGAACTCGTCCATGAAGTGATCCCGATCCACATGGACCACCTCTTCCTCATCATCGCTGTCTTTCGCCTGGGAGGGAAAGAAAGGTGTAGGTCACAAGCAGCTCCCACCCTGGTCCTGCTGCTCCCAGCTCTAGGCTCAGAGAAAGGGTCTTAGGAGGGGTCACATGTAGGATGCATGGCAAGGACCCTGGGCAGGCAACACGAACACTGGATATCTTATGGGACAGAGTACCGGAGGCCAGGTAGCTGACAGCCCAAAGACACCTTGCAGGGAATTAGCAAAAAGTCACCCTTTTGGGGGTGGATGTGGCCCTGTGAATGCAGTGCCACAGCAGCTGCTATTAACCAACCAGTATGAGAGTATTTCAATATTGTCACTACCACTTAAACGTCAGCCTTGCAGTAGCTGTCCCTGGGTTCTGAGAAGAGGTTTGGAACAGAGTCCCAGGAGCCTGACCCTCTCCACCATCCCCTGGCCGCACCAGCCCAGGCCTCACTTTGCTCCTCTCCTCTTCCCCTCCAGCCACATCCCCCTGTGCAAAGTCAATTCACTGCCAGCTCTGGGCTGCGTCAGGTTGAGCAAGTACAGTCAGGCCCACCCAGTAAGGGCTGGAGGAGACACAAACAGCACCCGGATCTCGCTCACTCCTTGTGTCTTTCTCCTGCCCACCTGCACCCCCTCAGCTTGCTCTGCCCCTCGCTGCCCCCGCTGCCTCTGACTCTCCGCAGTGTATTCACTTGCTTTCATCCAGCCTCTTCCAACTTCACACCCACCTACTCTCACTTGCTTGGATTTCCTGGTTGCAACTTGCAGCGGCTCAGCCCTCCACCCCCAGGGCTCAGAGACACAAAGGGATTTACCCACCCACACCTCCATGAAGACACAGACCAGTGACATAGACAGAAGGGCTGACACACGAGGCACACGGAGAGACAGCCCCACTGACACCCACACGGAGATACCCCGACCTGCTGACATGCAGCCACCCACAGACCCACAGCCGCGCTGCACGCTGATGCATGTGGACGCAGCTGGTCACCTGTCCCTTCCCCCAGGGACACTCGGTAGGGCCCTCTGGGCCAGTTCGCCCAGCCTCTCTGAGCCTCAGGTCTGCACACTTGTTTGGAGCTGGGAAAAAGGAGAGCGGGGCAAGAGGGCCCCCCCAATCCTACACACTCTTGACTCTAGACTTCCCTGCTCGGGACAGAAGTCAGAGGATAAAAGCTGAGCTCTTCAAGCTTAATTACATCTGGAGCCCAATCAGCTCCAATGGAAATTTAAACACAGTTCACCCTGATTTCCAGAAAGCACCTACCCAAAACTCAGAAAATCTAAGTACTATAGCCTGAATGAAGTCAAGACAGGATTCAAAAAGTGTCTACCCGGGGTACGGCCAGTTGAGGTCTAAAAAGAACTCACATGGAACCTCAACAGGGTCCGAGCAGACCGCCGGCAGGACCTGGCAGAAACCAGACAGGCTCAGACCAAACCAGACTCGGCATAAACAGATCCCAGACAGCTCAGATCGAACCTAGACAGAGCCAGATGGGACCTAGATGCAACATAGACAGCCAACTGAACTTGGAATCAGGAGAGCCCCGGCAGCACTGGAAAGAACCCGCAAGCCCAGGGAAGACCCAGCAGGACACTCCTTTAGAGCCACCCTAGCTTCCCGCCCAAGCCCTGCCCCCAGGAATTCTCCACGAATTCTCTCCACGGATGCTGGGCCCCATACCACATCAGAAAGTGTGTTCAGCACTTACATTTAATTTCTAGATAACCCCAAATATCCACGGGGAAAGGGAGGCTCCTCTGTTTCTCCCCACAGCTGCCCCAGAAGTAGGGGTGGCACCAGGTAGGGCTTGGGAACTCTGATGACACTTCTTAAGCCTCCACCTGACCAGCCTGACAGACCTTGGCATTTGAAGACTCTGGGATGCTCCGCTCATCTCTGAGGAGCTGGCGCCTTCCCTGATGCTGCCCCCCACAGACTCCTTCTCCTGGCTCCGAAAGCCAGTCCTCTGCACCCTCTCTGCCTTCGAGTACTCAACTCAGCCCTGCTGCCCGCACGTCCTGGGCCTCTCACTTTCCTGTTCTCTGTCTCTTTCCCTTCCGCATTCTGACTTCAGGCTTCCTGAAGTCTACTATCCGTCTCTCCTGTTGTTCCCAGAGCCAGTTTCTTAGATTCTGCCCTGAGGCACCTGTCCTTGAGACAGAAAGAAAGGTAGAGGACCCAAGTAAGACCTGTTTGGTGTAATAATTACAGAGCTTAGTGTTAACAATCCTCTACAGTTCACAAACACTTTTGCATCTATAATACCGCCCTTTCTTTTCAATCCTCACCTGAGGACATGCCCATTGACTTTAAAGAGAGAGAGAGGAAAGGATACAGAGACAGAGATGAGAGAGAGAGAGAGAGAGAGAAAGATAGAGGCAGGCGCATCTATCTGTTGCCTCCTGTATCTGCCCCAACCAGGGATTGAACCTGCAACCTAGGTATGTGCCCTGACCAGTGATCAAACCCACAACCCTTTAGGTGCACAGGACGATGCTCCAACCTACTGAGCCACCTGGCCAGAACATCTGTAATGCCTTTTGATCCTTACTACCATAACCCTGATGAGAAAGGCAGAGCAAAACAAATTATCATTGTCCCCATTTCACAGATGAGGGAACAGGAGGTCAAAAGAAAAAAAGAAAAGTGACTTTCCAGAGGGCATGCAGGCTGAAAGGGGCAGGGAGATCACAGCGTCAGAGACATGCCCCCCCAGCCCCTCCCAAGGCCGGAGACCAGGCCACCCCCTTCCAGCAAGTCTGCTGCCGGCTCCTCTTCCTCTCCGCTCCTGCTCAGGCCCAGTCCGGGCGAGGCTCTGTGCCTGAAATCCTGGCCAAATTTTATCATTTAATAGCACTTCTGCATAGACCTTACCTTCTTGTTATCTCATTTAATCTTCATCAAAACTCTATGAGGGCCCCGACCGGTGTGGCTCAGTGGGCATCATCCCACAGACCAAAAAGTCACTGGTTTGACTGCCAGTCAGGGCACACACTGGGGCGGTGGGCCAGGGCCCGGCTGGGGGCGTGCGAGAGGCAGCCGATCAATGTTGCTTTCATGCATCGATGTGTCTCTCCCTCTCTTTTTCCCTCCCTTTCCCTCTCTCTAAATATAAATAAATAAAAATTTTTAAAAAACCTCTATCAGGACCATTGACCAGCATAATTATAAGTGTGGCAAACACTTACATAGCACATTAGGGATACCACTGTATGCACTCTACATAGATTTATCCATTTAATTCTTACACATGACCCTCCTGAGGTGGATATTATTATAGCCCCCTTTTATAGATGGGGAAACTGAGGCACAGAGAGGCTAAAGAACTTGCCCACGTCAGCAGCCAGAAGGCCACAGATGACTTCTCCCCTCCGAGTCTTGGCCCACTGAATGGCAATAACACCAACCCCAAACGGTGGGCTGGAGGCCCACAAGCTGGGGGAAGAAAGTGCCTGATGGTGCCAGAGAGAGAATTAACGCTTAGTGAGGGCTGGCTAACTCCCCTCCCCTCGCCTGTCAGACGAGGGCACAGGCTTGGAGAAGTTGTCAGCCTATGGCTTGGCAGCAAGTAAGGCCAGAGGTGGGACCTAAAAGGTCTGGTGCTAAATCCCAGATTCTTCCCCGTCCATCCTTCCACCCCTGGTTGCGAAGAGTCCATTCTGCTCTGTCCTCACTACTGCTGAACACCTGTGGCCAGGACAGAAATGCAGCAGGAGGTGCCCGGCTGCCGGGAGAGCTCACGCAGGAAGGCAGGCATTCCAGCCTCCACTCGGCTCACTGCGCGACCCTAGGGGACTCTCAGCCCCTCTGGGCCCCAGTTCGGCTGGGAAAGAGGTGGGCAGGTACACGTGCTCATCGAGGGCCCTCACTGCTCTGAGGCATACATGTTTAATAATGAGCACAGCCTCTATTTCTGGAAGAAGTTGGCCGAAAAGAAAACCAACTGTGGGCAAACAAGAGGACCTAGGAGAAGATGATCAAATGTGCCTGATCCCCTCTATGGACAATTCAAGCCTGTTTCCTGATGTGCAGAATGAAGAAGATAGGAATTGTACACATCTAACACATGCGTACTGATTACCGTGAGTTGGGCCCTGTTACGAGTGCTGTGAATTTCTTTTTTAATCCTTACAGCCATTCCATGAAGTGGATACTCTCTTTATTCCCATTTGACAGATGAGGAAACTGAGGCAAAGTGAGATTAAATAACTTGCCCAAGATTATACAGCTGATGGGTGCTGAGAGTGGTGTTGAACTTGCTCTTTACTGCTCACAGTCCCTCAGGTGCTTGTGAGGATTAAATGAGAGAGAGAGGAGATCCCGGGCACCTTCTGGAACGGCCTTAGAAATAGGGGAAATAAAAAAAAGAAATAGGGGAAATCATATCTAAGCCTCCTTCCCCACCTGAGACACCCAGGGCTGTCTGTGTGTTAGCGGCAGGAGATCACACAGACAGACGCGTCCATGGAAAGAGGAGAGGGACAATGTGAGCCAGCAAGTCAGCGATCAAAGAGACAGATGGTGAGAAGGTGACTAAAACAGAGGCGGAAAGAGACCGGAATTTGGTGATAGAAGAGTCACAGTGTGTGTGCGTACAGGGCCCATGTATACACATGGGCTCACATGTGCTCCTCGGGGTGCGAGCATCGCTTGATCTAGAGGCAGGAGCTGGTCTCCACTGGAGCCCCCTTCCTTCCCTCTGTCTCCCTGACCTGGGCCTCTCCTCCTCCAGCAGCCAGCATTACCTCACTCCTCTGCCTTCCCTGCCTTACTACTTATTCCCTTCCTCATCCTCCCTCTGCCCCACTGAGTCATTCATTCATCGAACAAGTATGTATGATCTGTGCCAAGTTCTCTTGCACGTGCTGCTGAGAGAAGTGGTGGACAATACAAGAAGAAAGTCCTGCCTCCAGAGAGTGGACATTCCAGTGGAGGGAGACACACAACGAAAAATGAATGACAATCCCAGATCGTGCTAAGTAGCAGGAGGGAGATGAACCAGGAGAAATGTCAGAAACGAGCGACAGGAGCCGCTTTGCAAGGGGTGGTCAGGGAAGCCCTTTCTGGGGCTGACACCTGACTTAAGTCCTGAAGGAGTCAACTGTGCTACAGTCTGGAGAACGCAAGATTCAAGGCAGAGGGGATAACATTCGAAATGGAGGGACCAGCATTCCGGGCAGAGGGAACAAGGGCAAAAGTCCTCAAAGGCTGGGGTGAACCTGCTGTGTTTGAACAGCAGACACAAGCCCAGTGAAGCGGGCTGGTACCAACCCATCATCCAGGGCTCTCTGGTCCCTGCCCCCTCTTGTGCAAACTGGGCCACTCTTTCCTTGTTATTTCAAGTCTGCCTTTCTAAAGCCCCTATGGTGCTGTGCCGGGCCACGCCTGAGTGCCACACACCTGACTCGGTCCCTGCCCTCGGTGCAGGTTGTTCTGTGACAGTCCCCACTTCCCACCAGGCCTCAGAGTCACGCCCCTCTCACTGCAGGCCTCACCTGTCCCCATTCCCAGTCTCCCGTTTCCTTTGCCTACTGCCTCCCCACTCCACAGCCGCCGCCCAGGCTCCAGCCCGCAACGTGTCTCTTTGTGTTTCTCTCTCCCACCGACCTTCTCTGCCTCAGATGCTCCCCCTCCTCTCTTCTTGAGCCCCATCCCTGGCCCCAGTACTTGGATCCTGGGATGCCAGTCCAGCTGACGAACTCCAACCTCAGGCTCTGCTTCAGCCCAGCACCTCCCAGTTCCCAGCCAGACGTGTCTGGTGAACTGGAAACAGAAAACCCTGGTTTGACCCTGAGTCTGCCGTAACAGATGTGTGACCTTGAACAAGTCGGGTTACCTCTGTGGCCCTCAATTCACTCTAAAATAAATTAGGGTCACATCCTGCCCATTTCAGGGGTTCAAGAGAAGTTAGTTTGCTATAGAACAACACACACACACATAGAGCATGGCTGGGCGCCAGGCCTTCTGGGTACTTTTTGCGTAGTAACTAATTTCAGCCCTTGGAATAACTCGACAAAGTGTTATCCTAAATTCACACATGAAGAAACTGAGGATCAGAGAGGTTAAGCAACTTACCCAGGCCACACAGGAAGTAGCAGAGCTAAGATTTGAACCCAGACAGTCTGACTCCCAAATCTGTGCCCTCACCTGCTATATGACAAACCTATCTGAGGACCCCTTGGGAACTTTAAAGTACTGCTGGAAAGACAGTCAGGCCCCCTGGGCTGACATCACCTCCCACCACTGGCCCCCACTTCCTCCCTCTCAGCCTCTTAGAGAACCCTTACCCCAGGTCTCCCACACCCTGCCCAGTCTCCCCGCCTTCCCAGCCTCTCTGCTCTCCACTCCTTCAGGGAGATGCTCAGCACTCCTAGCATCCGGCAGCTTCTTTCCTCCCCACCCACCCCTCCCAAACCGCCCGTTCTCCCGAGCTGTGACTAGCACCAGAGCCACCAGCATTCGCCCAGCCCCCTTTACCCTCCACACCACTTCCCACTTCTTCCACCTGGCTGCCCCCCAAAGCCCCAGCAGACAGGACTCCTCACCTCTGGGCTGGGTCCCCCAACCACTCAGATGAAGACTCCTTTCCCCTGCCTCCTCCTCCATCCCTTTTCCCTTCCTCCCTCTCTCTCTAATTCCACCACCTCACCCCAGCTGGCTTTCCATTTCTGTGGGTTTGGGAGTCATGGATGGTCTTGGCAGCAGGGAATCTGGGTTCACACCTGGATTCCTCACTCGCTAGCTGTGTGACCTTGGGCGAGTTACTTAACCACTCTGGGCTTTGGTTTGCTCAACTATAAAATCAGGTAGTATCTCATTTTATCCTTTCCATCAGGTGGGTGAGGGTCTAAAAGACTGCAGATGGCAACCTGCCACGGAGGAAGACTGCATCTGGAGAGAAGGGTAGTGAGGGCAGAGACAGAGTCAGCCTGCCCGGCTGCCTTTTATTGGCCACGTGAATTTGGTTGAGTTACTTAACCTCCCTGGGCCTCAGTTTCCTCATCTATAACATGGAGTAAGACTAGTTCCAGACTCCTAGGGTTGCCCTGACAATCAAAATAAGTGAATGTGTATAAAACACTTAGAACAGTGTCTGGCACATGAGTGTTGGCTATCTTTATTACTGTAAGTTCAGTAAGTTTACCTATTCAGTAAGTTTAATAAAGACATAAACCTTCAAAATTCCCTCCCTCAACCACCAGTTCCTCCTTCCTTCCTTCCCACTTGCCAACCCATCTTCCCCAGAGACAGCAATCACTTGCCTCCAAACCCCTTCCTCTTGTCTTTCAGTAGCAGCCTCCTCCCCCGCTCCAAAATCCAGGGGCTTTCCAAAGACAGAGTCCTTTACCCCCCACGCCACCCCCCACCCCCGCCGGTGTTGAGACTTCTGTTTCAAAGGCCAAAAAAGCCAGGACACCTGTCAACTTGGCAAAAGGAAAACCCAAGCTCCAATCTGATTCTCCCACCCACTTGCTTGGTGACCTTGGGCAAGTTCCGGCCCATCTCTGAACCCCGTTTCCATCGGCCAAATGGAGTAAGTCGGCTGGGCTGGTGCTTTATCAACGTAACACCACAGGACCTGAGCCCACGGCAGGTTGTCAGCTCCGCCTCCCTGGAGCTCCAGGTCATTTCTCCAAATTCCCCAGCATCCTCCCCACCAAAGTAACGTTCTCATCAAGGTCCCACTCCCCAGCCCCTCCAAGTGGCAGCCTTCACGGCAGACACCAGTGCTGCCCTCCTTCCTGTCACCCAAACACAACTTACTGCCTGGCCAGACTCCTGGAGCTGGGCCTCCTCAGGCCTGCAGAGCAAGGGCCCACATCCGCCAGCCCTGACTGCTCAGGATACCCCAGTTCCCCTCACAGAGCACAGTCCATACCACACAACCCAGTTCCAGGGCCCTTTGCCTGGAACCTCCTCTTCTTCTCTGCAACCCCACCTCCAACCTCTGGGGTCACCCCATCTCAGGCCCTGGTCCTCTGGCTGTCTCCTGAGGCAAACCCTTCCATCCTTGAGTCTCAGGTGCCCCTTCCCATGGAAAGTAACACATGCATGTGCACACACACACACACATCTCATTCACTGCCAGGTGCTGGCATCTCAGTGCCAACCTGTGTCCTTCCCGTATCACCCCCCATTTCTGGTCCCACTAGACTCAGCCCGGGGCCGATGGCACCCTCCAATTCCTTCTTGGCATTTACTCTTTCCCATCCCCAGATTAGATCCTAGGGGCCTCCTGGGAATGTGGGGTGTCCAAGACCCCTGAGACCTCTCCTGCCCCTTGTCTCTTACCAGCTTCCAACCCCTTGTAGCCACTGTCCCCAAAATGCAGGTTCACTGGAGCACATTATGTGCCTCCAGATATTGTGGCGCCCCTGCAACCAACCTCCAGTCATCATTTGCCTCCACATCCCAGCACCTGCCCCACTCTACCCCGACACGCTCCCGAAATAATGGGGTCCCTCCCCCTGTTTTCCCACCCCCAAGCTTACACTCCGCAGCTCCTGGGTCCGATCCTTCATCCTGCGACGGCTCCTCCTCCGCCTCGTCCTACTGTCCCTGCCGCTGCTCCTACCTCCTGCCTCGGTGCTGGAGGCCGGGGTCTGGGGGCGCTGGGGGGCAAAGCCGCTGAGGGAGGCGCCGCGGTCGGGGGCGGGGCCGGGGGCCGCAGGCAGAGAGCCGAGCAGGGGCACCGGCCTGGACCAGGCTTGGCTCTGCTGGGGCTGCGGTGGCGATGCGGCTGCGGCACAGGCTTGGATGGAGGGATGCGGGAGCCGAAGCGCGGGGGAGGGGGGTGGAGGGAGGTAAGGAGGAAGGGAGGGAGGGGGGAACCGGGAGGGGGCGGGGAGCAGGGGGCATGCGCAGCACCCGGGTCTGGGGGCGCCTGGGGGTTGTAGTCCGGGGGATGGGGACCCAGGGAGAAGAGAACTGGAGAGTCCTAGAGGGGGTGGGTAAGGGCCGAGCCAGAGGCTGGGAGAGATGTGGAGAGAGACAGAGGAGATGCGGCGGGGAGGCACAGAGATGCTGGGGGGGGGGAGGGGGGAGGTGGAACAGCAGCAAGAGGGGGTAAGAGAATGAATATCCTGGGAGAGGTGATGTGAATCCTTTGACACCAGGAGATACAGATAAATTTTATGTTTTGTCTCTGGGAGTCTCTGTGTGAGCCTGTGCACGACCACCTCTGTGTGTGTGTGTGTGTGTGTGTGTGTGCGCGCGCGCGCGCGCGCGTGTCCCTGCAGGAGGCTCTTTGGACACTAGAAATAGCAAGACTGACTCTCTAGGTGGCTTTTGTGATGCAAAGGAATCAGCCACACTTAGCTGAGAAGGACAAGGGGCATGTTTTTGGAAGAGCCTTCCCAGCTTCAAGTGCGAGTCCCTGGGCAGCAGGGGGTCTCAGAGCTCTTCTTGTCTACCTCTCCAGGCAGGATGCTCACTACCTAACCAGAACTCCTGGCCTGTCTTTAGACGGTTCTGACTTAAAATGGAAATTCATCCGTATTGGGAGGGGAGTTCTGGTACCCCTGACCATCCGGCACCCTGCATCCTTCTTCTGATTGCCCACCTCTCCTCTCCTTGTCTCCACATCAACTCCTCCACTCCTGCAGTGGGGCCCCAACAGGCCTTTAACCTGTTTTTGCCGAGTAACCAGTGACCTCTTTGATATCAAATCCATCAACATTTGTCTGTCCTTATCCTCCATGATATGTCAGGGACATATGACTCTAATGACCTCTCTCTTCTTTAAATCCTTCCTTCCTTGGTTCCCAATCTGCCTCCTGTCTCTACACCCCACCCCCCAAAATCCTCTGGATGTTGTTTCCCAGTTCCTTACAGACCCCCTCCCTTTACCCACAACCCCTCAACAGCAGGGTTCCCTGGGCCTGATCCCGGTTTCTCTTCTTTCTTTACCCTCTTGTTTCCCCAGGTTCGGCCGTGTGTACATGTCTGTGATATTCACACCTATACCTGCAACTCAAAGGCAGCACCTACTGTGTGCCTGAGTGCCAAGCTGGGCGCCAACGGCACAGAGACAAAAGATGTGATCAGAGACGTAAGTAGATCCATGACTGTAGTGAGTGAGGCCAAGGCTTTGATGTTGGAACTGCCACAACTGTGGGGGCCTCACCTTCCCCCACAGCGCTCCTTCCTGTATTCTCTGCCAGAGACGGCACCTCCATCCACCCTGACACTCAACGCAAACACAAAGCTGTTCTTGCCGCCTTCCCATATCCATGAGCATCCAGTGTGTCCAGGTGCAATGCTAAGCAGTTTACATAATCCTCCCAGCTCCGGAGCAGCTACTGCTGCTGTCTGGACTGCACAGATTAGGAAACTGAGGTTTAGGATGGTTACGTAATGAATCCAAGTTCGCAAGGTTAGTAAAGAGTAGGGCTTGGGCTCTCACTTGCCTTAATTGATTTTAAAGCCCATTTTTATAAAACCACAATGTTATAGCTCCTCCCTCAGTGGCCAGATCCAGAGATGCCTCCTGGGTCCTTCCCATCCCCACCACCTTGGGTCAGTTTAGGCCCTCATCTGCTTTTGCCTGGAGCATCAGAACAGCCTCCTGTCTGGTTTTTTCAACTGTAGCACCTTTCCTTCATGTCTCCCTTTCTCCACAACCGCTAGGGTGACTGCCCCCTAAACTAGTGTGATATCAGTTCACTGCAGTATGCCCCAAATGCCTCCTGACTGCACTCAGTAGCTGCTCTGGCATTTGAATCACAACACCATGAGCTCGTTTCCCTTACTGCTGCCTTCCCTGTGCCGCCAACACGAGGCCCTAACCACACTGAAGATTCACAGATCCCAAACACCTTGGAGTCTTTCATTGAGCCATTTCCTCTGCCTGGTACATTGTTTCATCCCTTCTCTGAAGGTCATTTTCAAGGCCCAGTTCAGGCCTCTCCCGGAAGTCCAGGCAGACAATGTTCCAAGGTGTGGGCTGAGTCTACTTCCCCACTAGACCAGATTGGGTCTGATTCATGTCTGCTTCTCCCCAGCAACCAGCATGAGGTCAGGTACAAAGAACATGTTCAGTAAAAATCTAAGTGTCTAGCCCTGGCTGGTGTGGCTCAGTGGACTGAGCACTGGTCTATGAACCAAAGGGTCACCAGTTTGATTCCCAGTCAGGACTCATGCCTGGGTTGTGGGCCAGGTCCCTAGTAGGGAGCACATGAGAGGCCACCACACATTGATATTTCTTTCCCTCTGTTTCTCCTTCCCTTCCCCTCTCTAAAAATAAATAAATACAATGTTTTTTTAAAAATCTAAATGACTAAATGAGTAAGCAAATGCCATATTCCCTCACACTTTTACCCAGGAATAAAGACAAAACAATCTCCATGAAGGTGAGGATTTAAATTTTTTAAAAAACACATGTTTATTGATTTTAGAGAGAGAGAGACAGAGACAGAGAAACATTGATGTGAGAGAGAAACATTGATCAGTTGCCTCCCATATGCACCCCCACTGGTGACACAACCCACTGTACACAACCTAGGTATGTGCCCTGACTGGGCATCGAACCTCTAATCTTTTTGGTGTACAGGACAGTGCTCCAACCAACTGAGCCATACCAGCCAGGGCAAAGGTTGGGATTTTTGTTTGTTTTGTTTAATCCTGGTTCTCCAGTATCAATATGACACTTGGCACACGGTAGGTATTCAATAAATGCATACTTGTTGAATGAATGTGTGAGTGAAAGGTGTGAACTCAAATCTGGCTATGGTTCTAAAGGTGGACACAGATGCACAACACATGATGCAGCAACAATGGTAACTCATCTCATTGCTCAGTGATTTTGAGCTCACCACATCCATGATCACTTGAACTATACCCCGTAGCTCTATGAGGTGAGTTGCCTGAACCACACACCCACCTCCTGGGCAGTCTCCTTTCCTGAGTGGTCTTTCTAAAACATCGGTATAACCAGCCTGGCCTCTGCTCTAAACCTCCGCAGTTCCCTCGGCTCTGACTTCCTAATCTGACTCCACGCTTTTGCCACACCATCATCCCTCATACTCTCTGATTCCAGCCCCGAGCTAGTCCCTGCGTTTTCCCACTTCCATGTGTTTCCTCAAGTTGTTCCTGATCCCTGAACACCCTATCCTCTCATATTCCGAAGTGCAACACCTACTCTTCTTTTTATTGATTACTTTTAGAGAGAGAAGGAGGGGGTGAGAGAGAGCCAGCAGGAGAGAGAGAAACACTGATTTGTTGTTCTACTTATTTAAGCATTCATTGGTTGCTTCTTACAAGTGCCCTGACCGAGGATTGAACCTGCAACCTTGGCATATCAGGACAACGCTCTAACCAACTGAGCCACACAGCCAGGCCCAAGGTGAAATCTCGGTTTTTAACAATCACCTCAGGCAATTCTTTTTTTAAAAAGTTTCATTTATTTTTTAGAGAGAGGGGAAGGGAGGGAAAAAGAGAGGGAGGGAATCATTTATGTGTGAGAGAAACATTGATAAATTGCCTCTCACACACCTCCAACTGGGGACCTGGCCCGCAACCCAGACATGTGCCCTGACTGGGAATTAAACCTGTGACTTTTGGTTCACAGGCCAGCGCTCAATTCACTGAGCCACACCAGCTGGGGCTCACCTCTGGCAATTTATATCTTCAGTCAAGTATGGGAGCCACAGTTTATCAGGTAGGCAAGGCTAAGGCTAGGTTATGCTGTGTAAGAAACATCCTTCTAATCTCAGTGACTCAACACAGCAAAGCTCTATTTTTGCCACAGCTGGGGTTACCTTCCAGAGCACCTGTCCTTCAAAGAAGCTCAGTGCTTCAGACAGAGAAATTTATACACAGCTTATTAACATGCTAGACTTTGAGTGCCTCATATTCAAGGACCCCATCTCATTAATCTTCACCTCCTCATGGCACCTGGCACAGGACCTATGACCCTCGCTGTGCTCAGGAACAAAATAAAGAATACCCATGTGACTTATTCATCCATTAACTAGCATTTATTGAGGCCCTACTCTTTGTACCAGGATTATGCGCTAGTGCTAGAGACACAGTGGTGAGCAAAACAGACATCAACCTGCCCCATGGAGCCAGTAACCTAATTTCTCTAAGCCCTAATTTCCAAATCTGTAAAATGAGCTACATTTCTCACCCCTCAGGCACAATGTGAGAGGATTTACTGAGAAAACAAGCATGGCCCTGGCTGGTGGGGCTCAGTGGACTGAGTGCCAGCCTGTCAACCAAAGGGTCTCTGGTTCAATTCCCAGCCAGGGCACACGCCTGGGCCAGGTCCCTGGTTGGGGGCGTGTGAGAGGGAACCAATCAATGTATCCCTCACACACTGATGTTTCTCTCTCTTTCTCCCTCCCGTTCTCTCTTTCTAAAAGCAAATAAATAAAATCTTTAAAATATATTAAAATGAAGAAAACAAGCATGGAAGCCATTTGTTACTTGGAAATCTCACTCTAAGCAGAGGTGAGTGAGAGCTGTTATTCTGGTGGGTGCCTCTATCTGCTCTTCCGCCCCTTCCATCCAGTTTTCAGGTTTTATTCCATAAGCCCCTGGAATTTGGTAGCATGTCCCTGTCCTATTTCCACTGTCCTTTCAACTCATCACAAACCTGTAGGGTGAATGTAATAATAATAATAATAATATCTAATTCTTCTATATCTATATCTAATATAGTATCTATCATGTGCAAAGCTCTATTTTAATTGTTTTATATCTATAATTTATTTAATCCTTACAATGGTTATCTGAAATTACTGCTATCATCTCCATCCATAA